GTACGTATGGCGCGATTACTATACGCTCAACTGCATCTATTCAATACTTGCAGCCGTCGTGGAGTAATCATGATGATACCTATGGACAGAAGCGAACTCAAGCTCAACGCGATGTACAACAAAAGTTTTGTTTTGCGATTTGCAGTAGATTGTTTGCCTTGATTCAAAATAAATGTCTTGTCTCTTCATTCTTCTATCTTCTATCTACAAACGCTAGGGGTGAGAGGGAGAGGGTAAAGAACGGGGTTGAGGGTCGCGCTGAACTCCTACCCGGGGGGGGGGGGTCGTATTCGGCGGTCGTATGCCATGCTCGACACTGGTCTAGAGCTAATTTGGGTGGGGTTTACAGACATAATTAGGGTTTGGAGCTTAATTAGGGCTAGTTACAGTATGCCGCGGCAGACTTCCGGAGCACAAAATGGGAGGACTCCGGAGTCCAAAATGGAAGGGCTCCGGAGCACAAAATGGGAGGTCTCCGGAGCACAAAATGGGAGGGCTCCGGAGCACGAGTGGCAATCCCCCGCTGGGGAAACCCCGCGGCTCGGCCATTTCTGCTCCGGAGGTATGCCTCGACTGTCTGAGCGGTGATCGACCCATGTTGCGATGAAAATTGCTGCAGAAGCAGAGCGTTTTGGGATTCCATAGGAAAATAAGCTAGCTTCTGTCCTGATAAGAGTAAGGATCGCAAATGATCAGCAATGCGTTTTTCTCTGCTCGCTTCCGCCTACACCTGACGATTGTTTGAGGGCTATCCATTGAGACGCATGCATATGAAAAAGGTATTATATAATATTAAAAGGAATTGTATTGAAAGACTTTGACTTTGCGTTACAGCAATTTTTGGAAGCGACTGATGGAGTGAGCAATTATGTGCATTACAAATTCTGCATCGTTAGAAACGCGACGATATGAATGTAGAGCCACCACTGAATTTGTGTAACGCCAAGAAAAAGAGTTTCCCAAAGCCTCGAACGCCCAAAACTCAATTGGCAATCTGGAGAGATAATAAGGGTGGACGAAGCGTGTGCATTTCTGACTTTGGAATCTCAGTTCCCTCCAATCGCCGCGGCAAGAAAATCTAAAAGCTTTGACAGAACCGTTATGGATGGCCCATCATACCCAAAAAACGAAAATAAACTGAGCCATGTCTATAAAAATGCTATTATATGGTCTCAAGATGAGCTGCTCTAAACTTGACACTGTCTGCACCATTTACGAAGCTGAAGCTTTGGAAAAGCCTTTTGTGCCACTTCCACACGTTCAAGCACAGTACCAGAACCAAGGCGAGTATGCCTATGAAGCAAAAAATTTGTAGATCAGTTTCCTCGCAAACCGTTTGACCACGCACCTGCGCCGACTCGTGTGCCTGCAGAAGAATCATTTTGTGACTTTCTTCTTTACAGAGTACCACAAATTATGGCTCGTAGTGAAAAGTCTGTCATTTCAAGTCGGTCGCCTGAGGCGGGCCTAAGTTGACCTTAGGCACCACAGATCAGCACTAGTGTCCCACTGATCTAGATGCTGATCGCTTGAAACGAGCGCGTTTTTAACAAGAGAACATTATTGACATTTGCAGTTTTTGTTTTCATAGTCAGTCCAATGGACTGGCGCTATACATGCATCTCCACCTTTGCTATCGGGCACAAAAAATCAGTGATGAACGCTATGAGACATTTTGCCGAGCACACGGGGAGATAAAACAAGGGAATTACAATAGTTTAACGTGCATTGTCATGAAAACTGCAAAGTCTGCGAATGTGTAAAAGAGACTACTTGGCTACAGGCTGTGCTCGGCTCTGCCAGTACACTATGATAGAAATCACCAAGCCCTAATCTGTACAACATTTCCCTTTCTCGCAATGCAAGAAATCGATAAAGTCGGTGAAGGTAGTGTATAATTAATAGTAAAAGTTTCATACATAATCAGCAACCCCCCGTAGCTCAAACTTTGCAAAAATGTACAAAAATTGATAAATTGAAAAAGTCGTTAAAGGCAGCGTACACTCAAAATTTTGCCTTCGATATTTTTGTCATTCTGGGGCCTTTCCGTGCCCCTGGTTACAGTTATGACATTAAAATTCTCCAAAAGTCTCAAAAAACCCCGATTTTCAGGGATTCTCTCTTCAGGGGCGGACGAGTTTCGAACTGCTCGCCCCGTCATGCCAGCAGCTGCAACAGCATGACAGCCTGCAGTTGCAACTGCAACTGCTGCATATGCTGTCGTGGTTCGTCGCACGAAGGATGTGCACCGCAAAAAGCAACTACACTATTGCAACTGCAGTTGCAGATGCAACAGCAGTTGCAACAGCAACTGCAACTGCGACTGCAACTTACGCTGTCGTGGATTCATCCGAAGGAGGCGGAGTGAAAGAAAAATCAGGCGGGTTTTATCCGCTTAGAAGCAACATTGGGAGACCGGACCAACGCAACTGGTCTTCTTCTGAGCCCTGTATATACACGGTATAGAGAACTGGGTAACTCAACTTTTGGGTGTACGCTACCTTTAACGATCGATAAAAAAAAGTAGCCTAATCCCCGAAGTGTATGTGTGCAAAGTTTGGTTCGGATAGGTGCACAAACGAATATTCTATTCGGAACAACATACGTACACACATAAATACTAACACACATACAGACAGACAGAGACAACATTCACCTTCATATTTAAAACCTGAGCACAGTTCCCCATAAACGAAGTAACGTCTGCAAGAATTAGTGATAAAACTATTACTTTTTTACTTGTGGCTGTGATCAGCTGCTCATCGACTTCCTCGGACCTCAGATCCTTCTCTCCCCCCCCCCCCTCCCCCGCCGAAAGTGAGTAGTTTCACTATCGTCCGTAGACTATGTCACATTACGGGTACCGTAAGTCACTCAAGGGCAACTTACTGGACACGTAAAAGAATTTTCTCTAAACTTCCACTTTTACACACTGTTTACGGCCGTTGACCTTCCGATCCACCCTTGACTTACAGCAAATTCGAGGAGTAGAGGCAAGATGGTGTTTTCGCACGGCGTCTTCAGCGCTACCCTGATAACTTGTCCGCACACGTCACGACTTGGCGGATCTTCCCTTCGCTTTGCTTGAGCAAAGCCCTCGCAATGTGTGTGCGCGGCGGTGGTCCTGTGTGGAAAGATTATGGTCGTGACTCGTTTTATATCCGCGCGCAGAAGCAGATAGGCAGTCCATCCTCTGTCATCCTCACAGGGTCAGAGCAACGATGCTTACCTTGCAAAACAGAAATTCAACATGCTCAAAATAAGGCTTCGTACAAAAAGCATTTCTAAATGTTATAATGTATTCTTCAAGAGCCTGTCTAAGTGGCGTAGCAATGGCTTTTACTGTGGGCTTTAGAGATTATAACAAGGCGTTATGAGCTGACGTAAGACATAGAAGAAATAGTTTACGATTAGAGGAGAGTTGTTCCTTATAAATGCAAGCTGGAAGGTGTGGCTTTGTTTTGCTCCCATTCTCTAGACAGAATAGACCGAGCTTTGGCAGAAACTCCGCAAATAATTCTCTCAACTTTCTCAACTATGGCGTCTCGCTCTCTTTTTGTTTGTTTAAAGAGTCAAATCATCCATGATACTACCCAGTACTTTGCTTGGGTAAAGCCACTATCATGTTCTAGCATGAACCACACACGGCACTAGATTGAAGTTGTGCCCCAGTCAAAATGCCCTGTATATTTTATGGCCCTTGCCGTAATTGTTTTATAAACTCTTTATGTATAGCATATAAAGGACGTTTTTTCACTTATTTTGACTTCTTTAGTCTACATTTTTAGCGCAAAGTTCGTTGAAGATTTTGCAAAAACTGCGTTATTTCAAAATGAGAAATCATTCTTGTTTTGGATGCACTCTGTCGCACATCTTCTCATAAACATTGTGAATACTTTCTAAACTCTTTGCCTCTTCTTCGCGGCCTCGGAGAAGGATGTCAGAAAAATTTAGGTTTGAGGCTCATTTTCTTATTTATTAAAATACGTTCTTTCGGAATGGATTGAATTCCACGAAAATTAAAAAAATTTTTAGCGGTATACGAGATTCTCTGAGAGAAATGCTCTTTTCTTTACTAGCATCTCGAAAAAAAAAACTTTGTTGGGGCCTCCGGATTTGGTGAGCACAATCAAGCAAACGCACCAAAATTTGAAGTATTTGATGCCAGACAACCTCCACTCAGATAATCGCCGGGGGCAAGCGGTCCGCAAACTCGCGCTTTTCTGCAGGCGGTCAGCAGAATTTTGAGGCGTAGCCAAACATTCAGCGGGCGGCACTTCCTTTACGGTCGCATATTCTGCCAGCGGGCAGCAATACAGCATTTTTTGCAAGCGCTCGGCAAGTAAATTCTTTCAGCGAGCGCTGGCCGAACTTTCAGCAAGCGCTCGGACTCTTTTTAGGCATTTTCGGGCGTACGTCGAGCGCAGACAAGACTCTGTGTGACAGAGGTGTGACCGTTGGTTTAATTACTCAAGTTTGAGGTACTTTCTCTCAGCGGAAAGTACCTGGGGGCTGCGCGGTCCTCCACAAAGGACCGTGCGGCCCTCGAAATTTTTGCATATTCTCGCGGAAAGTCCGCGAGAATGCGGCCACTGCGCCGCAGCTAATCCATAAAGAAACCGCGATTGTTCTTCAAGCATTCGTCTTTAATTTCGCCAACTTTCTTCCAAATTTCTGCAAGCGGGCCGCAGAAAATCAACGAACTATTTTTCCGGTGCGCGCTTGCTCAAAATTCGCATGGCCGCCTGCCCCCGGCGGTTATCTGAGCAAGCGCCTTGAAGACTGCTAGGAGTCATATCAAGTCATGATGAAGTCATATCAATCTGTGGGTTATGTCAATTGCATGAAAGATTGAGGAAAAGGCGCTGCTGCGCATATACTAAAAAATTGATCATAATGTACCTGTGGTTTATATCTAACATATAGAGAATCGTTAGCTCAATTCAAAAATCTTCCAATGGCGGATCCCGAAACGTACGCTCTTCCAAACAGCACCTTTAGATTACTGGTTCACTAGTTCGAAGAAATAAAATTTGATCGTAAGCGTAGAAGTTTTATTTTGATCTGTACACGAACAAATCCGTCCTCGTCAATTTTTAACTCTACGATTCTCATGAATACATAACGACTGGACACATAGCAGAAGTCCGTAGGTCGTTGCAATGGCACATCTTCTTGCATTACTCATAGCTACAACTGCTTTCATCTCTCTGGAGGTAAGTATGCTTACCTTCATACAACTAATTCCTTTCCACTTTCGTAGGCCGCACCAGCCAAAGTCAATGTTGTTGCTACAGTGGTAACCGACTTCAAATATAATGATAGGACCGCAAATGAAGCCACAAAGAACATGATCTTCAAAAAAGTTACGACTAGCTAGGAGTGCAAGCTACGATATTTCACCATTCATTTAGCTCTCCGAAGCTGCAAATAGGAATGGCCCTTCTATGCTTAAAGTAGTCAAACTGGAATTGAAAAACGTAGACGGAAACCTTGCAGCTATTTACACCGTGACTGCCCCCAATTGCGAAGAGGTAAGAATAAATCTAGACATTGAAATGCTCTTTTTACACTTACAAGGAAAGGAAGGTCGGTCGAAGTGGTCTTTTGAGATAAGACGTACGCTATCTTGTAAAGCTTGGAATGCTGATTTCAAATCTACCTTTGCTATCTGCTGCGAGCTTCTGAGTGAGGAGTTATAAAGGTTTTTGTGAGTGAAAATTTGTTTGCAAGACTAACATAAATTCAGTCTTTACTTTCTCCTAATCAGGGCTCGGCACAGGTGGCTTACAAGCAAGCTGGGTATCGTTTTTGGGACAAAAAGAAAAGGGGATTTCGTTCCTGTGACCGAAGAGACACGGAAAATTGGCGACGGCGACCTTCTTTTTTTTTCGTCGAGGTTTCGTTTTTTGGGGATTTTGGGGAATTTTTCAGGTTTTTAGAGGAAATTTGGTTGAGGGTCAAAGGGGACTTCGTAAAAATTCCCAAAAGTCAGGGGGACTTCGTTTTTTCCATTTTCATCTAGCCACCTCGTGCCGAGCCCTGCTCCTAACGTTCAAATGAGGCAGCAGCGAGTTGATATAATTGAACCAAAATAATTGGTTGAACCGAGTGACCCGAATATTACTAAGCGTAGAAAAATTGTTACGACTGATTTTACACTAACCTTGCGTTTAACTTTTTACTTACAGAAACCTTCATAACTCCTCGCCCAAAAGCCCGCAGTAGATAGCAAAGGCAGATTTGGAATTAGCGTTCCAAGCTCTACAAAAAATACATATCATCATAAAAGGCCACTTCGACCAACCTTCCTTCTTTTGTTAGATGCAACAAAGATATGAAATACTACTTGCTTAACACCGCCATTGTTTTCAGGTCAGTAGAGACGCAGGTGAATTTATGAAATATTTCAAACCAGTGACATATATCAAGTACAAATGCGGAGGCGAGCATGAGTTGCTGCGCCATGGAAGCTCTTAGAAACAATCTTATTGATTTGAGATCACAAAATAAAACATTAACATCGCAACTCCTTCCAATAATACAAAAATTCTGGCTTGCTCACCTATACACTTTCCATACCAGAAAATTTATATGTGCGGTTACTTTATTTCTTCCTCGGTTAAAAACCAAGAAAACGAAAATCTTTCTGCTTTTGTCAAAGTGTGGCTGCGCTGTTCCTAATATGGCACCCTTAATCGGGTGTCTCTTGCTAAAATCTATATTTCTCGAAAACTAGAGCTGGTAAAAAGCTGAAAAATCACTGCTACACTTCTACAGGTTTGTAGCATCAATTTACTCATGTGAAAACAGCACTGCATCACTTCTGACGAATGGCCGTTTCCATACACCCTAGGAAAAATGACGTTAGCTCTTCAATCTGACTTCACTATTTTCATCGTAATCATTAAACGTGCATTCAAGTATGAATTTTGTGCTCAAGACCGAAGAAAGGACCTGAAATAATAAACAATGGTAAAAGTTAACGTCTGCAGTCGTTTTTTGTATGCGTCTGCTCCCGAATGGCATACCTAGTAGTCTAGTATGCAATTTCTTAAACAGACTAAACCAACTCAGCTTCAATCGCGAGTGTTAGCGAACTCGCCTGCATGGGCTGTGGCTTGTTTGGGGAACTCTTCTTATACAGGAGACAGGCCTTAGCAGAAGTGGCGCTTTTACAAACTGGATGCCGTTTTGGGGGGGGGGGAAAGAAAAGGGGAACCCGTAGAACACCCGGAGAAGAACTTAAATGCTGCGAAATGGCCGTTATCATTAGAGCGCGTTTTCGACCTGGGACTTGAATTTCGCCTAGATTCCACTTACGATGAGCTGCAGTAGGAAAAGGGCCCTTTGTGAAGTGTTACTGCATACGTATGGTAGTCCCCGTCCAGAGATGAGAAATTCTCCATCATGCTGTTTACGATTTAATATCATATGCGTTGGAATAGTGATTTTGCTCAGTTAACGTAAAGCATGCTTTAGATCCAACGCGACTTCGAAAGGTGATGTCAAGGATAATCAAAGTTAGGGAAAAAAGTCTGACAGTGCAAAATTAACACGATATTTGTGAACACTTTGTCATATAAGACCCTACCCTTTGCGAAACCGAAATCTGAGATTATAAATTTCTGTGTTGTATAAAGTGGAAGAGTGTCGCTCATTCCTTCGAAGTCATTCGTGTGAACAATTCCTTGTCTAGTGATGGGTTTACTCATCACATTTTCTTGTCTGCATAGGATTGCTGAATGGATCACCGAGCATACGTTTACTTTGCTATTTCTATTTCAAATCGAATAACGAACGGAACGGTCAGAAACAGAAAGAACACGTCCTAGATGATTAGATGGCATGAAGTAAAGCACCTGGGCCCGTAGTAATCTACCTTACCAGGTGGCATCAAAGATGCCGGCAAGTTTGCGGACCTCGCGGCATGTTCGTGTTTCGGGCGCCAGCTAAATCTTGCTTTAAATTCTCGTTTTTAATTAGTTTTTCTCTTTTCTTTATACTTCTCGAGCTTGACGTCTTATTCGCCTTGATCGTTCGTACGTTCTGATAATTTCAAATACCCGTACTCCGCAGTCATATGCACATGAAATTTTGATAACGCAAGCAGCCGCAAAACACTTACATCAAGCGCGTTCGAACCTGCATGCGTCAACTTTGAGCGCCGCAGCACTAATCATTCAACCACGCGATCAGTTTTCTACGTGCGGCAGCAATGACAAAAACGCACAGAAAAGTCGCGCCTGTGAGAGCACAGGATCAATACATTGGTGATAGACGTTGACCTGAAAGAACAGCTGATTGATCCTCTAATATACAAAAGATGGAAACGCTGAACTACAGTAGTTTGGTGTTAAAGGGCGATCGTTCCGGGAGCCTGGATACCGTAACCCCTTTCAACATCCATCCTTAGGAAATTGGAAAAGTGGGCGACTACTATGGTACACGGTGCCAGAAGCGATGTGGTCTCAATGGTCTAGTGGCTAAGGGGTGCGACTCTCAGCTGCCAGACTCACAGATCTTATTCTATAGAAAGAATCTGTGTCTCAAAGTTCAAAGGTAGTTCCTCTTTAAGGCCACATTTCGCCCTCAAAATGAATGAAATTCAAAAATCTAAGAGCATTTTCGCTTAAGAGCTTTTCTTGTTCTTTTTATTGGTACCATTCTCTTCACCCCACCTTTAGTGGTTGGTGAGTTATGAGCGCTCAAATTTAGCGTATCGGTTGAAAAAACTGCTGCTTTTTGAGTGATGTTTTGTGAAGTTTTGGCAGCTTTTAGTATTTACAAAACGCTAAAAGCCTGTATAGACGCTTCCAGTCATTTGATGTCATAAGTCACTGTGGAAGTAATCAAAGTACATTCTGAAATTCTCCCAAAGGGCTGCTGCAGAGCGACGACTATCAGGGAAATAAGTATTATGGAGTAAAATGCCAGAAGCACGTATAGTGAATGAATTGTATTACTCTAACATCACAAGCAAAGAGCTTTGTTTCCTTCTTTTGCTTGGGCTAAATAGATGTGGCCGGCTCACGACAAATATAATCTATGTTCATTTCAAGTGCGCTATGATACTAATCGCAGTTTCATCAAGCAGCGTAGATGACAAAGAAAAGAAAACATGTTAGGTAATCTATTATATGAAAAATGAGTAAGGTAAAAAGTATAACGAGCGAAACGACAAATTATCGTACCTTGTAACAAAGATACTCTGTACCCTACTAAGGCCAAATTCTAACATTCACTTCTTTTTCCACTGAACTTAAGCAATCACACAACTATTCATAAACTGCCATCAACTGAGTGAGAGAAACCATAAAGAATGGGCCAGATCAAGCGCTCCTCAACAGTAGATAACCTTCACTCTCTCTCTTGCATCTTTGAAACCAAAACGTTACTATGCTTTGTAATGTGAATGCTCATGATGGAATGTAAAGCCTAATCCTTGACAATAGCGGTCGTTTTGCGAAGCGGATGCGAACGGAAGTTTGAGCGCCTTTCGTGACTGAGTTTACGCCCGCGCACAGCTCGCTTTCATGGGCAGCCGCTTGCGTTTAAGACTGGCTAATAAAACTCCGTAATTCCAGTACGGACACTGTTGTGAATTCACTCTGGAAGTCACCGTAATTGATCTCTTGTTGATGGAAATGTCTGAAACTTCGCTGTATAGCGCGCATGCTAGCAGAACATATCAAAACTGTTTCCGGTCACTTGAACTTTGAGCGGAGAGTAAAAAATTGCGAAACCGCGTAGCTATATGATGTTACCAATCTACCGGCTTTTTCGAAGTATTATCGCGTTTTTTAACTCCCAGATCTTTTTGTACACTTACGCACGAAAGCATGACACATTTGCTAAACCTAGGATCTTTCGTCCTGTTCACAGGAAGGCGATCAATGTGTATCTGCTTTTGAAATATCAAAAGCCAACCTGCTTTCTCAAACCTGTGAGATTTTGCTCTTTCTTTTTTGCTTAGATTAAAAGCGCCACAGAAGGGCGCTATGAAGATCCCCGACTTGTGCATCCACGAGATGAGCGCGAATTGCGCGTAAAAGCGATCGCCGCCGCATTTTCCATTTGTGATTTATCGGCTGCAGCATAACATGCTTCGAATAAAGATAGAGAGAACTTCCAGAAAAAAAGGAGACTTGCGCTTTGGCATAAAAATTTTGGAAAACGAGATGTTTACTTGGACTGGATTTGCTTGCGGGGAAGTTCGAACGGTGCTATCTCTGTGTCCGCGGCCCAAAATTTCAAGGTCGCGAATTTGGCTGAAATTCGGTCGAGGAATCACAAATATTACGTTCTTTTTTCACAAAAACTTCATTTGATGCAGCAACGGTGGGTATACATAGAAGAGTCAATTCAGTTTTGGCTGAAATTTGGTCTAAGTGGTTTTCTGGGGTGCTGATTACGAATACCATATTCTTTCTGCATTCTGCAGCGGGCTTAGTCTTCCATAATCTTTCGAACCAACGTACGCCGGGCCCTGCGGTTTTGGCACGAAGGATGAGGGGGACGCTGTGAGCATACTGAGTGGAAGTACATTGAAGGGAGAGGAAGATACTGTGACTTTTTTAAGTAAGCTTTTGCGAAAAGGGTGTTTTTAAACGGGACAGCTCCTTGAATAACGAAGAAAGAGTGGACAACTTCACTGTGGAGTTTTAGAGGGAAAAACTTGGTGCATTTTGGCTAAGAAAATGGGAAAAACTGATGTTTTAAGGCAAGAGTGATGAGGAAATTAGGCTCTTCTAATGGGAAACGATCTTTTCGCACGGGCGGTCTCCAGTGCTATCCTGATTTTTACTTGTCTTAACACATCACGTACGCCGCGAATCTTTCTTCCCCCTGTTTTGCTTAGGCAAAAGCCGCCGCAGGGTGTTCCGCGCGCGACAGTGGTGTGTGGAAAGGAGTAGGACGCGAATCGCGTTCTCACCCTCCTCTAATGATTTGACGGAAAAAGCCGCTAACGCTTTGAGAAAATTCTAAAGCGAAAGGAACATACAATACATTAGCTAAGAAAAGCCACAGAAAGGAGAGCTACGGGAAGCATGCTGTACGAGAAGAAGAAACATTACTCGTTTCTCTAATGCGAGGGTGAGTCTAGAGAAAAAGCGCAAAGTGTAAGGTGTGCATTTCTATTTTGGAGAATGAGCTTCACTCAACGCGACATCTTTCTTGACTCCAAACGTTCTTCTGCAAGCTGTCGTACTTTCGTCATTAGAAATATATGCGCACCATGCCTTCCCAGCAAATTTCAAGCAAACATCACTAGACGAGTTTATTAGCTTTCATGGCATTGTGTAATACGAGGCTATGGTGACTCAATACAACATTTCTCACACCTGCTCGCCATTGGGCCGCTAGTAAGAGCAAAAGGCAGGCGAAAGCGTTGCAAACAAGATTTAAAGGATTTGCAAGAAGAAGATGGCGCTCTTTTCGGTTATATGATATAAATATTCATTTTTTCTATAGATATATCAAGAATGTGAACAAGGAAAAACC